AATATATTAAGTTTTTGAAAAAAATAAATCTTAAAATAAATGTCATGTTAATTTTTTAATATAATATTAATTATCTTTTATTTTTTATTTATACCCTTCATAATATTTTTTAGAAAGTGAATATTGTATTGTATTATTTATAATAAAGAAGATTAATTATAAGTTTTTTATTTCTAGTTTGTATGAAACAACCTAAAATGATACTTATTATAAAATAAAGAGAGTACTAGTTATAGTTAAATCAAGCCAGTAAAAGAATTAAGGAGTGATAATTGATCTAAATTCATATTATACTATTTTTAAAATGAAAAAGGTTAAAATTTTGATACCAAATATAGAAAGAGATATTTTTAAAAATATTAAAAATAAGAAAATCATTCAATGTTTTTAAAATATAAAATCTCATAAAAAATAATTTAATATATATTTATATTTCAAAAAAATGTAAAATTATATATTTAATACTAAATTTATGTATTAATATTGCCTCACTATTTAAAATTTTTAGATGATATGCACGAATTTAATATGTAGCAGGCTATGTATCATTCTTATAACTCTTCTCCCAGCACGCATGCTGGCATTAGATCCACGTTTTGGGGGTGCTCTTTGAAAGGGTAAGGACCAATGCCTAAGGAGTCTTTAACATGAAGCAAAAAAGTACCCAATATAACCAAATTTATTTCCAGAAAATCTGTCGGCGTGGGAAACTATTTTTGCCACTTCACTTCATATTATGATGATCGGTAAAAAAATCATCATGTACTTGTTATTGGAATACAAAATTATATCTTTTTCCAAATTAAAAAGAAGAAAAAAATCCTTCTTATTAATTAATTATTATGTTTCAACCATCTTTTATGCATTTATAGGAATGAAGCGCACGAACTGGGGCAGCATATAGTAATCTACGTGGCCCATATGGTACTGAAGAATAATGAGAATATGTAATAGTTGGAATTTGGAGCAATGATAGAGTTGTGGCAGATGAAGGGGGTTATGGAGAAGAAAAGAAAAACATTATCATGAATATGTGTATTATTATTTATTCAACAAAATAGAGTTGGAAGAGAAAATGAAGAAATTGTTGATCTGACAGAATAAGCTTGTGATATTCTGTCTCTCTCTCTTTCCCAAGTTCCCGACCAATATGAATCATGAGATTAGATACATAAATGCAATATTTTTCAAATTGTTATTTATTATTATTGGAAGCTTGTTGTGGTTTTCTTCTTTGTTGCGTGAAGCTGCCTATGCTTTTTTCCACAAGAAACACAAAACTATGTATCAATATTTCTAAAGACAATATAATTTTTAAGCAAGAAATGAATTCTTTTTGAAAATGGGCCACCTTTTACTTTTCTATTATTGAGAGCAAGAACCGGAACCATAACATATATAATAAATAATTGCATGCTTTTAAAATTATATAAACCTTAATGCATTGTTTCTTTCTCTCGTTAAATATTGACTTTGCAATTTTGCTGTTAATATAAAATGGTAGAGAATCACGTACTGAGGGGGTTTGGATTTAGTGGAACAGGCTAGACCAGCCTCTCATGATGAATTAAGGTTCAAATTCTGGTTTAGAGAAGTGTTAATATGTCTCAAATATGATTGCATTCCAAGATAGTTCTGAAAAAGAAAAAAAATGTTAGAGAATCTCGATCCATGTGTTTGTCTTAATTAATTAATACAATGGTGACCTGTTATTTTCTATATTTGGTGGCATGAAATCCTTAGTCAATTTTGGGTCGAACTTTGATTTATTTGAATTTCGTATCTCGGGTCATGATCATTCCACTAACACTCAATAAAATAATATTATATATTAAAAATTTGATAAAATTTAACATTTATAAAATTGCAAAATAATTGAAGTCACGGGTTAATTATTATATATCATTATTATTTGTAGACATTTCATTAAATATCCTAAAGGAATGAAAATATTTTTAAAAGAAATTATTTTAGCAATATAATGGGAATACCTAAAAATTAAAAAAAAATCAATTTACAAAACAAAATATAATGGTGTTAAAGTCCACATGTTTTTTCCCTCAAACAAAAGGGATCAAGTATTGGAATTGAATTATATTTCAACTATTTAGTGAATATTTGTATACCAATTTAAAATCACATTCAATAAAAAAAAAAAAACATGTTCCAATGCTAAAAAAGTAAAATCTTGTGAATTTAATTTTTTTTAACTTGAATTGAGATGAACTCAACTGATTCACAAACACTCCCTTAATATATATGTATTTTATAGTTGACTCAACAAATCGGGATTATATAAAAAAGCAAAGAAATTATACTTGTATTCCATAAAATATTTTCTGGTACAATTATTCAATATGATTAAAATGCCTATAAATTAATCTCAATTGCATATAATATATCAATAGTCGGGGACTTGTTGCCATGCTAAGTGTGAAACAAATATGGTGGTTGGTATAACCAATCATCTGAATTAATCCAATTACTTCTACCACTTAAATTTGTAACTGTTGGTTGGGCTGCAGCTTTTAATGCACATATATAGTTATAACGACCTAAATTTGTTAGCACAAATGTTTAATAACACAAAGGTTTTTTAATCGGGTAGAATTGTGTCTTGACCCTCTCGTGTACTTCCATGGATATTGGCATCTGTTAGTCACGTTTTGCCTACAGAGTTGTTCCAATTTCCAGTTGTATATGTACTTGATTATGAAGGAGGGTTTATTTTAATTTTGTTTTAAGTACATTAGTGACACTATAGCTTACCTTACTTTTCAATAATAAAAACCAAACAAAGCATGGCAGTCTCATTGACTTGAACTTGGTCCATTTTTTAATGCTCTTTTGGGCATTGGTTATGATAACCTAGAGATACCACTAAGTAGAATGATGCTACATCACAAGGCAGATGGGCCTCTTGCTCATTATATAGTCTCTGCTTTGAGCACATCCACTACCGTAAAACATGACATAAAGGTATATGCTCACGTAGCTTTCATCATATGCTGCACAGCCAAAGTGAACAAAGATAGAGGGTTGTTTGGTTTTGGCCTTTGCACCAACATAGACACTTCAAGCATCAAATAATGGTTATTTCCTTTAAATGTCCATGGGTTTAAATTAATACTAGTTAGTAGACCTGCCATAAGAAATATTCAATATTGAAACCATGTGGGGGAAAACCAGATGGACCCATTTACATAACTTGAGCTCTAAGATTGTCCAATTCAATTATGGTGATAGTTGAATCATGATAGTTGGGTGCTTCCTCACTTGTTCTCTCTCTCTTTTTATTTTATTTTTCTTTTCTAAAATACGGTTTTTTTTTTTTTTTTCACTTAGGGGAGGGGATGTAGAGTAATGTATCAGATGATAGTTTCTACCAATAGTTGAACTCCACTTAATGAATAATAATGACTTTCACTTAACTAGGTCTAGATTGGTTTATTAAAAAAATATAATTTACCCCACGTACTTATATGTGACCCACACGTGTAATTTTGGGTATTAAATGTACATTACAACTTACAAGTATCATTATAATAATCCAAATAGATAAACAGTTTCCCACTTTTGGTTGATGAAAATATACACGGAAATGCCTCAAAATGCAAAACCAAACCGAGCGTGCGGACTTAGATTGATTGTGCTGTGATATTCACCAAACAAATATGTGAATTTTTTTTAAATTAATTTTGCCCATATTTTAGAAACTCGAAGTCAAATCACCTAAGCAGCTAATGAGATCTCATCTGAATAAAAAATAAAAAAAAAAAAAGAAAGGAAAATGGTACTCTCAAATTTGTGATTTGTGAAGTTTTCAGTCGAGACATCCAAATTTCTATATTATGGGCTGAGGGTAGTGATTTGGTTCACCACTAAATAACCTTTAAAAAAAATTGAAAAGGTCTACTAATTATACAGCCACATCATTTATATGATTTAGCAAGAGCCTAACCGAAGCCTTTGTTTGGAGTATATTCTAATCTGTATAGACTAGAGAGTTACGTACATGTGTTGCTTGGAATAATTTAAAAGAAAGCCAAGGTAGCTCAACAACTTTTTTAGATGTTATCAGCATCACAGAAATATAGCCATCACTGAAAAGTCTTAGGGAGTCACATTCATACACTTGCAAATACAAAATGTGCATAGTTAATAGAAAAGTCAAATCAATAATTTGGCTGTTTCTTTCCGCTGTGGTCCGGTACATGGTTTCCACATGGGATCATGTAATATTCACTCATAATGTGTTGTTATCACATGAAATACAGCCAAGATCGTATACTGTATTTAGAGATTTAGGTAATTGATGCCAAAAAAACCAAATCCAAAGTGATAAAAAAATTAGAAACAATATCAGTCATCAGTGATCTCTGAACAAAAGGAGACAAGCACTACTTCCTATACGTGTATTAACATATTACAATAACTTGGGTTTCCAAAGACATAATTGTCTTCACATACCATATTTTAGAAACTAAGATCAAAGATCAAGGTTTGAAAAAAAAAAAAAAAAAAGGGGGGGGAAAGAAATACCTCTTTCTGGTTTTTCTTATAACAACATGAACAAAAGTACATTGACAGCTAGCTATGCATGCTTAGAGGGACCTGGGACTAACATGTTGACAGGTGCTTCTTCTTGAGCTTGGAAGGTATACTAAAGATTCAGAAACAGCACAAGTTCTCTTGCAAGAAGCATAAAGGCTAATAAACCCAAAACGATCACTAATACTCCTCGGCACCTTAGCTCCATTCCACAAATTTCCACTTGTTTCCTCATGATCATCCTTTGAGCATTCAACCAGTGCAGCAAAAAATGGATCCCTTTGTATTGAATTCTTCTTCCTTACCCTGGTTTCTTCATGAGTGAGCTTTTTGGAAGAGTGTGTGGTAGTTGGAGGGGGCAATGGTAGTAGTTTGAAGGATGATTCCTGCAGCTTATTCTTTTTGGAATTCTGTTTCTTTGGAATTCCAGGCAAATGCTCCCAAGAAAATGGAACACCTGAGAATCTTAGTGGAGATGCAGGACTAAGAAGTGGATCCTCAGGAAAATAGAATGATTCAAAGGAGGAAGAAGAGGGTGAAAGGGATGAACTAGAGGAGGAAAAGGAATGAGTCCTGCGAGATGAAGGGTACTTTCCTGCATGGAAGATGTCACATTGTTTTGGAACAAACTTGGCACTTGCTGATGAAGAAGAATCCATTGTGAAGAAGAGAGAAAAGATGTGTCACACAAAAACTCTCTCTCAGTCTCATGGCACGTTTTATTATATAGGCAAAAAGAGAAAGACAAGAGTACTAGTCATATTTTACTAATGTTATGCTTTGATATTTTGTTATAAACAACATTAATTTTGTGGTTAAAGAAAAGGATATTATTGAGTAACAAAAAGACCCCATAGCATTGATGAGGGGGACAAAGTTGGAAAATAAATAGTCATGGAGGTGACAAATCCTTGTCTTAAATAGGGAGGTTACCATAAAGAGTGGTTAAGAAGCATTCACATGGAGGTGGCTGGCCAAAATGCATAGGTGCTGATTTGATTTAAATCAAATTTATCATTCGGAACAACAGCCAATTAATTTCATCTACAAAAAATACACATCCAACCATAAATACATTCAGCATATATGTTTCAAGATGTTACGCCTCAATTTATTTACTTCTGCAAAATTTCAGTTTGTCCCAAGGTACAGTCAAAAGTTTGGGTACATATAAAGAAGGGAAAAAAAAAAAAAGTTCGTGGATTTTCTTCTGAGAAGTCGTCATCATTTTTTTTTTTTTTTTTATAAAGATAATGTTCATGTGATTAAGGTTGAACTTGTGTTTTAGTTAACATATATTATTGCGGAAAAAACTTTTTGAAATAAATGTATCATACCAAAAAGTACTTAAAAAAAAAAAGAGAATAAACATATATAATTCTGAAAAGTATTCTTTTTTAGAATTGTGTATGTTTGTATATATTTTCTGGAATTTTACATGTTTATTTAAAAAAAAATTCAAAAGAGAAGGTGCAAAGAAATAAAGGGGTAAAAATTATTTGGGTAATTAATTATTTTTATTTTTTAACATAAACTTTATTATTTTCTTGAGAAGTTTTGTTTGTTAAATATAAGGGGGGTGTATTGGATTAGGATTTTAAAGGACTTTTTTAGTTAAAAAAAATCTTGTGGATTTTAAAAGACTTTGCAGGATTTTTATGACTTTTAAGATTTTGCAAGATTCTACAATACTTAAAATCAGGATTTTAATGAATTTTGCAAGACTTTTAAATCAGGATTTTAATGGATTCTGTCGGATTTTGTGGAGTTTTGACATTTGATAAAATTTTAAAAAAAATTCATACATTCAAATTTTAAAAAGTCTCAAAGACAAAAATAATAAAATTAAAAAAATAATGTCTAGATAAATAATAATAATAATTCTCCATAATATCCTATCATCTTTTTATAGCATTCACTGTCAATTGTAACAATTCATCGGAATCCTCCTTGGTCCAAGCTTCATAGTTTTCTTTCTCTTTTTCTTTTTCTTTATTATTTCCTTGTGAATCTCCCATTTGAATTACTAAAGCAATATATGTTGAAAACTAGTTATATAAATAATTATGGATAAGAGACAAAATCAATAAAATTATATTATTATTTTTAGAAGCACACCAATCATACAAGATCGAATATATCTTGGCTATCCAAATGGATCAAATACCTCAGTCATTATAAAAAAAAACATGTAAAAACGAAAATATAGAAACATAAGATAATTTTTTATATAAAAAAAATCAGTATATTCGATACTGAGAAAATATTTAGATATATAATTTTTTTTTATAAACGGAAGTATTTAGATATAGAGAATATATATATATATATATATAGTTATATATTATATGATAATTTTTAACGATATTTATAAATGTAAATTATTCTAACAAATATTTTAACAATATTTCATTTTTTAAAAAATAAGCTAATGAAGGCATAAATCCTAAACCCTAAAAAATTAGATATTGCAATGTCTTATGTTAATTTTCTTTTTTAAAAATATAAAAAAAATCTTAATTTCACAATATAAAAATAAAAAGAAAAATTCATAGTAAAAAAAATAAAATAATTGTTGAGTCATAAAAGGAGGGATAAGAGTAACAAATTCAAGGGAATGAGAGAGTTCGCAGTTTTTATGCTGAGAGGGTTCTTCCCCCAACTAAGATCCATTTTCATCTCATTCTACTCACAGAAACCCTAACAAATTCATCTTATATATATATATATATATTGTAGAGATTATGATATCAATTTCATCTTTCACCTTTTTCTTTTCTTAACGTGTGTTATAAAAAAATTACCACTTAAAAGTTAAAATTTCAAGCATTTTTTTGTGTTATATAAAGGAACAAATTCAACTACATAGAATAAAACAAAGCAAGTCAATTAAAGAAAACGAATAGAAAAGTAGAGCAAGTCAATGACACTATCATTTACATATCAAAGTTTTACAAAATAGGAGAATGGGATGAGAACTACAATATTATATATGAGCAATGAACAATAGTGTAGTATTATTAGTAGAGAAAAAATGGAGAAGATAGGAGCATAGAAAAAAAAGATGAAAAACTCACTTGAAAATTCTTGAAATACTTGAAAAATCACTTCAAACAATCCTTCAAAATCTGATGGGTTTGAATGGGATTGTTTTATGAATCTGGTATTTATAGATAACACTAGAAAGTCCTTCAAAATCATTCTCAAACAACAATCCTTTAAAATCCTTATATTTTTGAATACTAATGGATTGTTTTTAAGTTGTAAAAAATCTCAAATGAATACCAGTGGATTTTAATGGACTCTTTAAAAAATCTTGAAAATCCAGATTGAATACCACTGGATTGTTTTTAAGTGACATAAAATCCTGATTGAATACTAATGAATTTTTTTACTCAAAAAAAGTCTTTTAAAATCCTACGAAATTCTAAACCAATACACCCCCCTAAATTAACATGATTAAAGTTAAACTTAATTTTAATCAAAATAATATTTATTACTTATTATTCACTTGTGCGGTTAGTTCATAAAACAAAAATGACTTAGAAGATTGTAATCCTAACAATAAAATTTAATTTGATTTCTTTTACCGCTGAACTATTTTCTTGATTATATATCTACTTTTGTTTATTTTTTTGAGTAATAATTTGACATGTAATAACTTGTTTTAATATATACCAACATGTATATTAATTTGTATTTAGGGTGGATTAAATTGAGATTTTATAGCATTATTTTAACACAAAACAAATCTTATAAATTTTAAAAAATTTAATAAAAATATAATGATTTTTAAGATTTTTTTAAAATAAATTTATAATCAAGATTTTGTAATATGAAATTATATCATAAGAATTTATAAAGGAAAATATGAATTTTTAGAAAATAATGCAATTAATAAAAAATAACATAAATAACGGTGTATGGATAAATAAAATAAAATTAATATAATATTTTAATAAACAATTTATTTTAGTTCCATATTATCTAACAAGTAATATTTATTTTTATATAGTTTTCCATGTATTGATATTTTCTTATTCATGTTATTATTTATCTAAATTTATAATATTTATTAATGAAAATATTAGTAATATTAGAACCAATATGTGTCGACTGTTTTGCTTAAGAAAGATGTAAACATAATCAGTACCTACATTAGTAATATTAGCACCAATATGTGTCCATTGTTTTACAATTAAACTAATTTTACACACTATCTATTTAGGATCTTATATTGTATAAATATTTTTAGCATTGTAGTAGTTTTCTCTCAAAACAATTTCGTCAAAATAGAAAATAATAAAAAAAATTATTAACTCAAAATCTTATTATATAAAGTTGTTAACATGTGGAGTAGTTTTTATTTTTATTTTTCAAAAATAATTTTATTATATAAAACTGTTAACATTTGAAACATTTTTATCCTAAATTTTTTCTCTAAATAGAAAATAATTAAGAAAATTTCTGTTGACTCAAAATATTATTATATAAAGTTATTAATATTTGAAATAGTTTTTTCATCAAAAAATTTCGTCAAATAGAGAATAATTAAAGAAATTTTTGTTGACTCAAAATAAAGGTTAAAAATTGATTATTCTATCTTTTTATATAAAGTTGTTAATATTTAAAATAGTTTTTTTCTCAAAAAAAATTTTATTATATAATTTTTTTAACATTTGAATCTTAGAGCATCTCTAATAGAGTATCTAATAAGCTCTCCATCTTGATATCTTATCTTATTTTTAGTGGGTTTCACAATGCACATAGTATCTAAGTAACACTATAAGTAATTTCTACATATTTTACTCCAATGGTGTATCTTATAAGTAATCTTTAAAAAACTCACTTTCTCTCTTTAGTGGCTCAATGAAAGTTCACATTCAGTATTTTTTTCTTCTTAAAATATGATGTTGAGTAATTAAATAATTTTTTTATTCTTAAGTGGTTGCATCTTAAATAAGAGATGGTACTTAATTTTAAACAATTTCACTTGCTAACTCAACGAACTCTAACGCAAGTTACTTAATAACAACATGTGCTTAGTTTTAAGATACGGAATACGAACCCTCGCTATAGATGCTCTTATTATATAAAGTTATAAGCATTTAGAGTAATTTTTCTTCCAAAAAAAATTAATCAAATAGATAATTAAAGAAATTTTTATTGGTTCAAAATAGGAGTTAAAAATTAATTATCTTATCTTACTATATAATATTGTTAGTATTTGGAGTGATTTTTTACGTTGTTAATATTTAGAATAATTTTATAAAAAAAATATTATATAAAATTGTTAACATCTAAAATAGTTTTTTTCTTAAAAAAAATATCTAAATAAAAATGATTAAAAAAAATTATTAGCTCATACTCTTATTATATGAGATCAAATCACGAAATTTTAATCCTTACATTGCATTTAATGAAAAATCTTTATATATATTCTTCCGTGATTGGTCAATTTTCATAGTTATGTTCGTATAACTTTCATATAGCAACATTTTTAAACAATGTATTTTTTTTTTGTTGATAATATATACACCTCCATTTTTTTATACATACACCCCCTTTTTTTAAAAAAAAAATATTAAATTCTTAAATTATCTTTAATATTATTTGAAATAAAAAAAATTATTCTGGAAAGTGTTTTTCAAATGTTGATGATATATACACCTCCTTTTTCCTATAAGTACACCTCATTTTCAAAAAAAATAATTAAAATTTTAAAATATTTTTAATTTTTTGTTTTTTTTTTTTA